TGGGCACTGCCCCAGGCTCCCAGGGTTAATGAATTTGTGCCACTCCTTCCTGGCATTTCCTCACTGCACTGAGCACAGCTCCATTTCTTTGTTCCCAAAGTAGATTTGTGGAAAGCCAGAAGGGTCTGGGTGTGGGATAAACTGAATGAAGTGTCTGGGGGCAATGAAAATGCTGATTGTTTGTGAGCAGCCCTGCTAATGGCTCTTGTGCTTTTCCCTTCACAGCTATTTACATGCAAAGAACATCATCCACAGAGACATGAAATCCAATAGTATCCTTCCTGAGTCTCCATTCTCTGCTGGGAAGGGATTTCTTAATGGTCATGTGGAGTTTGCTTTCTGTGGGGGTTGCAGCAGCTTTTTAAAATATATTTATATATATATATATATACCTACTAATGGGCAATCCCTGCTGATGAGCCAGCAAGGACTTCACAGGACATCTGTGCTTGTTCACCACACTTGGGATAAGGATGTGCAGCAGTTGTGCTCCAGAATTCTCTTATTTTACTGAAATTTGGTTTATTCAGTCTGGTCCCCACACGCTGCTCTCACTGATGGGAGCTGTGTGTTCACCTGTGTGCACACATGGGTTTGTTTCTGCCTCTTGGGTATTTTTAGTGTGTTTAAAACTCCTCACATAGCTGGCAGAAATGAAGCCAAAATCCTTACTTTAAACTCAAGGAAAGGCAGCCTTTTACCATTAGATTTTGTGCAAAAATAAATATTTAGTAAGACATCTGGAGGGAAAATGTTGTGAGCTGATTTCTTTCACCTTTGAAATGCCTGATTTTGGAATTACCAGCACATCCCTGGAGATGGGAACTGGGACTTCCTTCCAGCAGATGGGACCAGGATGTTTTGGCAAATGTCATAAAAAATCTGCCAAGTTCAGGAGTTCCACAATGCCAGTGAATTCATTTACAGTTTAAAAAAACCCCAATTATTTTACTGTATAGGAGGCCAGAAATTTGTGATTCCTAGTTAATGATGACCATTTTTGTGAAATAAGTTTGCTCTGCTCCTGACATAGAAATGACAAAGAGTCAGGTTTATATTTCTGAATTATCTTCTTGAACTTGCAGCATTCCTAAGTCAAATCATTAAATGATAACTTCTTAGAATAAACCCAGCAGAGAAGGTGCTGAGGTTATTTTAACATATATGTATTTAATATATATTATAAATATGTTTATAAAAATGTATATTATATATAATTATATATACATATGTTTAATATATACATTATATATACACATTATATATATATATATACACTATATATATATATATATATGTGTATATATGTGACAGATCCATGAAGGAGATAATTATAAATAATGTGGATATATTTGCAGTTAAAATCATAGTTAAACCTCAGCAGATCTGCCAGAGAACTTTATGGAAATGGATTTTATTTTGATACTTATTTCTCCTTGTAGTTGCTTTTTTCTTCATTTTCTTTTCTGAGTTTGAGACCTCTGAGCTGTTTCCCTTTCTCAGTTTTTTAAGGAGCTGCAGCCATGGATGGCAATGAACTGTTGATTTCTGTCCTGGCTCACCATAAAGATAAATCTGCAAATGCTGCTGAGCATTGCTCTGGTTTGGTGTTAAATGTTCATTTAAAATCCCTTTTCCTTTGTTTCCCATACAGCTCCCAGCAGCTTTCAATAAAACAAGTCAGGTCAGAAAATACCCAATGTTTGACTCGGTTCTGTGCAGTTTCTTTAACCAAGGCACAGATATATTTCTTCATGAAGGCCTGACAGTGAAAATCGGAGACTTTGGGCTGGCAACGGTGAAATCCAGGTGGAGCGGGTCCCAGCAGGTGGAGCAGCCCACGGGCTCCATCCTGTGGATGGTGAGCAAACATTCCCTGCTTTTGTGCTCTGTGAAATACACACATCCCCTGGAACAGAGGTCCAGAAGCAGAAATGTTCTTTTCTTTAAAAAAATTGTGAAAAAAAAGCCAAACTTTAAAAGCTTTTCTTAAAAAAAAAAAAAGGATTTAAAATTAATTTACCCAATGCAATGTATTTGTGTACATGAAACAGAGTTTGGGAAAGAAAACCTTGCTTATTTGCTCATTGCAGGCATTAAAAAAATGTATTTATTTGAGTCATTTGTAGCCCATCTTTGCTGAGCTGTCACAGGAGGGGAGGTTGTTTCTGTTTCTGTGATCCCTCATTGCTGCTTAATAATTCTGAGGGGATTCTTTAGGGGGGAGAAAAAAATCTCAGCCAATGGGGAAAATTCTTCTGGTGGCTCACACCTTGTTTTGCTCACTCATCTGACAGTGTTTATTTTAAGAAGCTTCATAANAGGACATCAACGCGTGCACGCTGACCTCCAGCAGGCTGCCCGTGTTCTGAGAGCCCTGCCCTGCCCCCAGCAGGCTGTGCTGAGCGCTCTGCCCGTGTTCTGAGCGCTCCTGCCCCTGCTCTGAGCTCTCCTGCCCTGCTCCACGCTGGGGCTGCAGGGGGAACTCGAGCTGCCCAGGCTCCTCCAGCAGGACTCCGTGTCCCACCCCACCACGAAGCTGCTCTGGATTGGTGCAGTTCTCAGCCTGCAGGGACACAGCTCCTCATTGCCTTTGCTACCATCTCTTGTTCTGGGAGAGGTAACAGACTACAAATCAAGAGATCTATTACTATTTTTTTAATAGATGCACTTGAGCCTTATTTTCCCCTTCCCAGAAGCGATGGCTGTTTGTCTGGCAGTGGTTGTGGCTGCTTTGCTCTGGGCTCAGTGAGGGGGCTCTGAGGACAGGTGATGTTCTGGTGCTCTGACTGCCAAGTGTCACCTCACCCCGGGAGCTGTGCCTGCAGTGGGAAGAGGAAATAACTCTGGAAATCAGCTCCTGCCTAAGAGCTTCACCAAGCCAATGAAATAAGTTCAAATGCTAATTCAACACAAAATAGTTTTGCAATAGTTTTGCACATAGAAGAAAAACTCTTGCAAAAGGATGGAATCTGTCGTGAATTGTCCTGCTCAGAGAGAAGGAGAGGTGAGCCAAGTCCTGCTTTGGTCATCTGGAGAAGCCTCCCAGCTGCCTTTGGTACTATGGACCTGCTGGGGGTGCAGCCCAGGCAGGGGGGGCTGGGAGAGCCTGGGGGGTCCCCTCTCNTCCTCATACAGGTGTCGTCTCCTGTGTAGGATCAAAGTCCAGCCACCAGACACTTCTGGAACATTCCAGGACTCCCGAGCCCCCCAAGGGTGCTCTCGGTGGCTCGGCACCTCAGTCCTGAGGTGCTGAGATCCCACACCCAGGCACATCCCCTGGCCTGCAGAAATCCACATTTGTTATTTATTAAACCAGCTGAGGTGGTGCTGCCAGCCTGCCTGCTGGCAGCAGTGAATGAGAGTTCACCTCAGGACTGGCAGGGCAGGTGCTCAAGGGAGAAAATTCCTTGTATATAAACATTTGAAGTGCCCTGGTAATACAGGTTACTGCTGCACAGTAAAATACTGCTGGATACATTTGCAGTTATGGGAAATTCCCATTTTGGTGTTAAATATCCTGCTGCTACATCAGGAAGATTGGATTTAGTGCTTTTTACTGAGGGAAAAACCCAGTAACTATTGTGCAGCCTTGGAATATTGAATATTTGTGTTGGTCTGTGCTGTTGGGCAGTGCCCTGTGGGCTGGGTCCAGCACAGCTGCCCAGCAGGAGCCCCTGTGTGACCTGGCTGTTGTGGGGGTTGTTTTGCAGATCATTTTCATGGTTGGCAGGGGCTACGCTTCCCCAGACCTCAGCAAGCTGTACAAGAACTGCCCCAAGGCCATGAAGAGGCTGGTGGCAGATTGCCTGAAGAAGGTCAGGGAGGAGCGGCCTCTGTTCCCACAGGTGAGTGGGGGGGTTGTGAGGAGCCCTGGGGGCACACAGGGCTCTGCAGGTGGGAACTGTGCTTAGCAGGGACCCCAGCCCTGCCCTGGGTGTGTTTAGTGCCAGTGCAGCTCTGGGCTGTGCTGGGGTTGGGCTGACAGTGCTGGGCCTTCAGCACTCACCTGCCCACAGACAAACCAAACCCCTCACTCCAGAAAAGTGAAATCTCTGGACATTCATTTCATTTTAGAGCTGAGGGAAATGAGAGGCCACTGCTCCTTTCCTTCCCCACAACTCTGAACAAGGAAACAAAACCCACTGGGGGGTCTAAACTCATGGAGCAATTCTTGGTATTTCTACAAGGGATGCTTTACCTTTCCCTGTCACTATGGGGATGGACTACAGACTTTCTTATACTCATTAATTATGAGTAAATAATTAATTAAACATCAACAGTTTTGGAAAAATACCTTCCTGCTGTTGCAGTCAAGCATCGTTTAGAAAGTTCTTTTTGAACATCAGGCAGAAGATGCAGTTCCTTGCCTGTTACTCTGCTGGAGGGTGGTTTAGATGCTCATTAATTGCTCCTAATTATCTGTGAATTGATAAAAATTGATAAAATTGATCCTCCCAACCTCTGGAACCCTCTGAGGCCCTCCCAGCACTGACAGAGCAGAGCTGGGCTCCTCAGCTCTGTGTTCAGTGCCCCATGGAGCATTAATGAAACTTGAACAGGATAAGAACTGAGTGAGTGAATGGATNCCAGCTCCCTCTGGGACACCATGGAGCACTCACTGAGGGCATCAATGCCAGCCTGGCACACCCAGCTCCCTCTGGGACACCATGGGGCACTCACTGAGGGCACCAATGCCAGCCTGGCACAGCCAGCTCCCTCTGGAAAGCATGGAGCACTCACTGAGGGCACCACTCCCACCTGTCACTGGCACAGTTTAATTTAAAGAACATTAAATTCAATCATGTGTTTGAGCCTTCAGTGCTCTCCCAGCTGTCAGAAATAAAGATGCCAGGGTGCTTCATCCAGCCCTTCCTGTATCTCTGTCAGAGAACAGGTACTGAATTATTTGGTGCTTCAAATGTCCCCAAAGAACACCTCACTGAATAGGGGCCACACTCGTGCTCCTCTGATTACAATTAAGGCCACATTCATTCACCAGATGCTCCTTTTTACCCAGGTGAGGAATCAGTCTCTTATTTCAGCCTTCCTCCAGCACTTCTCACCCCAGCAGTGACAATCCAGAGCCCTCCCCACTGCCACAGCACTGCAGGGTGCGCTGGTGCCTCAGGCAGAGACCTCCCACAGCCCTTCCCCTGGAGAGCTGCAGGCCTTCAGTCTCTGATGGGGATGAAATGGCAAAAGCCATAAACTGCTGCCTGCAGCCAGTCCAGCTCCAGAGGCCTGAGCTGGCCCAGCACCATTCCCTGGACCAGCAGCACAAGAGGAGCTCTGTGGGAGAAGCTCCACGCTGAGCTGCACCTCTCACCAGTCCTAAATACAGCCACACTCTCAACCCTAGAGTTAAGAGTATGAATGTGTTTAGGAGTCCACCCCACCTATTTCCACTTCTATCCAACAGCCTCAAGAACATTCCCAGCACAATCACAAACACAGTCAAAATCTCCTTCTTAATCAGCCTAATCCAAATAACAATCTCCATCCACTCCAGAACAGAAAGCCTCACCTCCTTCTGAGAATGAAAATTCATTATAAACTTCAGAATCCCCATCAGCCTAAAAANCTGTTGTCCAAGAGATGCACTAGCAAGAGGAAACTGAGCATATACAGTTTTTCTTGTTGATTTGGGTTTTAATTTTTTTTTTTTGTTTTTTGTTTTTATTGCTCCTGAGAAAATGCATTTATTGTAAGCCAAGGTTCCTCTTGATTATCTTATTTTAATAAAATAAATTAAATTTTAGGTTTAAGATTCAATGTCATCATTTTAATGGGAGTCAGCCACAGTTCTTAGTGGGACATCTGCATTTGGAAAACTCAAGAAATGACATTTCTGAATAGGTTTTAAAAAGTAACTGATAAATAACAGCAGTGCAAGTAAAACCACACTTGATAAAACAACGTGTACATTTCCAGTCATGACAAGCCAGTTTGTGCTGCAGTGATCTTTGAGCAGCAGCTGCCTTGGACACCCTGAGGAGCTCCCAGGCCCCTGCCCTGCCCCACTCTGGCTCCATTTTCTCCACTGAGCTGCAAGGGAGGGTTTTGTGTTGGCTGAACTGCAGGAGGACACAACAGGTGGGTGAATCTGAACGTGGATTTTTTCACAGAGCAGGTGGTGAAATGTGAAATGTGCAATGTGGTTCTTGGGGCACACATGGAGCCCGTCTGGGGTTTTTGCCTCACTGGGGCCAGGGCTGGCTGTGACCCTGGAATGGCCCCACAGCCCCACAGAGCTCCTGGAGAGGGGAACCAGCCCCAGTCTGGCCTCAGAACGTTCTGGAACAGGGCAAGGGCAGGCTGTGAACCCCTGGCTGGCAACTGAGAATTCTGTGAGCTTTGATACCTAAACAGGAAATTGGGACTTGAAGTCTCCATTTAGTTCTGCATGGTTTTTATCAATATTATTGTATTTGGACTGCAACTCTAAACATTATTTATCTCTAATTGTCACTTCATTATAAGCTTAAAACATGAAAGGGAAAATCCCAGAAGAGGTAAGCTGCTTTTACTTTAACTCTGATTTCCCAAAAGAAACCATTAAGCTGTGGTTTTTAAACCAGATCATGTGTCTCTTGAAAAAATGAAGTATTTTGGATAAGTAGGTTTATTTTAACCAGCACTGATGTCCAGTTAAATGAAAGGTGCTGAGTGAAGAACTTAAACCCAGACACGGTAAATCCCTGGTACTTTTGTGAACCAAGTCATGTTTTTAATTTCAGACTATCCCTCATGGCTTCTTGGGGCAGAGTAAATCAGGAATGTCTTGTTCAGGGTAAAGAACATCCTCTCCATTGATTTTTTTTTTTTTAGTGTATTCATGACAATAATTATTTCTGGGGGAAAAAATTGAGGTGCAGGGCAGATGGAAATGAGCTTCAGAGGGAGGGTGAGGGCTGGGAAGCATTCTGGGATGGAAAGGGTGTTGGGGTGTCCCTGACACGCTGATCTGGGGGTGACATCCTCTCAGGGATAATTCACCTTCTGCTTTGTCATCAGTGCTGACCAAGTGCACTTCAGCCTTTGCTGGGCCAAGAGAGGGAATCGATGTTACAGCCATGCAAGGGCAGCCCTGGCTGTGCAGTGAGCGCTGCCACAATCACTGCAGGGGAAAATGATGGAAAAATTAATTTCCAGTGAGAGCAGAGGGCACAGCTGGCACAGGGGAGGAGCTCCTGAGCCAGAAATGCCACCAGCAGCTGAATGGATCATCCTGGGTCCCTGCCAGGCTGAGGCTCCTGCTGCTCCCTCCCTGTGTGCCCAGGGCTCTCTGAACACATTTTGCTTCATCATTTCCCACCCCTGATTACAAACCTTCCTGTCCTTGGCCTTTCTTTCTTACACATTTTTAAGTATTATTTTTATGCTTTTATATTGCTATAGATAATAACCAAAGGAGTTCACACCTTCCATGGCAACCCAAGTGTTGTAAAACAAACCCCACATCTCTGTTGGTGTTTGCAAACACTGCTCAGTGATGTGCAAGGGGCTGAGGCAGTGACAGCTCCTGCTCAGCTGTGTCCATGCTGTTGTTCCTGCAGTGCTCACTGAATTCTTGGGTTAAATTCCAAGTCAGAACAGTTGCCTTGGCAGAATGAACTTCTGGTACCAGATTTCACAACCCAACAGAAATCACGTTTTTAACAAAGCAGAATTCAGTACCAGTTCTGTGAGACCTCACTGCTGTCTGCTGCAGCTCCAGGAGTGCAGGGATCAGTGCAGCCGCATTTGCTGTGCAGCAGGAGCCACTGCTGAGCTCTGGGACTGGTGTGAAACGGGCTCATCACCCTGGGATTGTGTGAAAAGGGCTCATCACACTGGGACTGGTGTGAAACGGATTTATCACACTGGCATTGATGTAAGACAGGCTCATCACACTGTAATTAGTGTAAGACAGGGCTGGGGGCTCCCCTGGCAGCACTGGGTGCCAGCCCTGCCCACAGCACCCACCAGCCTCCACTCCGAGCTCCAGGTACTGCCTGAGGTATCATTAAGGAGAAAACCCTACACTGACCATTATTCCCAGTGGGTTTTGCACTTCTACATTTAGCTGATTTAGTGGAGAAAAAAACCCAAAAGCACCCAAACTCTAATTAGCAACAGTTTTTACCAGCTGAAGCTTTCACTGGACCTGTATTTACACTACCACTCAGCTCACAAGACAGCATATGTTAGGCCAGAGAGGGACAAAACCCTCCTGGGATTAAGGGATTTTTTTCCATGCAGCCAATTTTTTTGGTTTTTCTTTTAAATATATTTTAGTCTTTTTTTTGTTGTTGCCATATAAAAACGATCTGAAAACTTTAGCAGGACTGCACAGGTGAGCAGCAGGGCACGTTTTGCTCTACCTGTGCTGGAGAGAGAGAAGCCTGGCAGGCAGGCAGGCAGCTGAGGGGGCTCAGAGGGGCTCTGGGGGCTCGCTGGGCTCCTGCTCAGCCCCAGAGAGGTGCATGAAGAGCTCCCCCAGCTCCGTCACCTCGGCGTCGGCGCCGGGCGCGCTCCGGCTCTCCCTGTCCTCGATGAAATCCCACAGGCGCACGGAGTTGAAGAACTGCAGCAGAGACACAGAGAGCAGCCTGAGCACCCCTTGGCACTGATATGTTTTATAAAAAATCCTTCTGCCAGCATCTTTCCTCCTGAGAAGCTGAGAAACTTCAGCTTCCCCATGTTTTGCTCAGTTTGCCCAGCATGTGAATTGTTTTTACTTGATGACCAATGACAGCCACCTGTGTCGGGGCTGTGAGCAGCCACCAGATTTTATCATCCCTTTTCTTTCCTTGATGAAATCCTTTCTTCTATTCTTTTAGTATAGTTTTAGTGTATCATTTACTTCTAATATAAAATAATAAATCAGCCTTCTGAAACATGGAGTCGAGATTCTCATCTCTTCCCTGTGCTGTGAACACCCCCCAGCCCTGGCCTGGGCTGGCACCTCCCACTGACCCCAGCCCCAGAGCTGGCTGTGAGCTCTGTGTGCCAGGGGAGGGCACACGAGGTTTTGTCCCTTCCAGCTGCCCTGAGTGCCAGCACAGCAGAGCTGTGGCACTGTGGGTGAAAGCTTAAAGGGCAGAATCCCTGTGAGGAAAGGTTTGGAATGGTCACAAAAACAAATGTATTCAGAAGCACTTCTGCTCTTTACAGACTCAGCCAGTGTTTAGTAGGATTATTATCTGTCTGCAGCACACTGAGGAGAAAATGAACCAAAGCTTCCCCAGCTTCAGCTGTGCTTAAGACAGGAACTCTGCCCAAGCCCCAGAGAACTGGACAGCATGGCACAGCCCCTCAGAGAGCCTGAAGGGGTGAGCTCCCTTCTCAAGGCAAGAATCATGCACAAATAACAAACTGCTCCAAAGTTCATACAGGACAATGCCTCCCACATCAGTCAGTCTGTGAGTCAGTTCATACTGATCAGAAATACACATCTGGCTCATAACTAGAGAAATTTGGTAAAATCCAGGCATAATGAGACTTTCTGTCTCCAAGGACAAACCCTTGGCCCAGGAACACTGAGGGGCTTTTCCCCCTTATCCTGCAGGGCAGGAGGCAGTGGCAGCAGCACAGCTGGGGCTGCAGGGGGGCTGCAGGGGGCAGCAGGGCTCTCCTTACCCTGACAGTGCCCTCGGAGCTCAGCTGCTTCCTGGGTTTCTCGGGCTCGGCGCGGGTGCCGTCGGGGTAGGCGTGCAGGTACAGACACTTCCCCCCAAAGGGACACGTCCCCTTGCCTTGCTCAAAGTACTTGCAGGGCTTTTTCCTGAGGGAATCACAACACACAGGTTATTGCCTTCAGCTGGCAGGGAAGGAGGTGCAGCTCATGCCCACAGCCCCAGTGGTGCTCTGCTAACACTGGTGCCCATTTTCCTTCCCTCAGGCACCAGCAGTGATGGCTGAGGAATCCACACAGAGCCAGTTTAGGCAAGTGAGCTGAAGCAGCTTCAACATTTCTGAGCATTTTCAACACTCTGAGGCTGAGTGTCTGACCTACAACTGCACAGGCACAGAGTGAAGCAAGCTGTGAGCAGACACGAGGAGCTCTCTGCACAGGGGTCTGTAATTATATCAAATTTAAAAATAAAGGCTCAGCAATTGACTGAGCCTTAGAGCAGCTAAAGAACAACGTGAGGGGTGTGGGTGGCTGCTGCACTTACCCCACTCCCTGCTTGAATGCTTCAATCAGCTCATTCTTCTTCTCCTGCTCTTCCACCCAGTACACGCTGGGGATGACAAACTCGGAGATGACGCGGCACTCGGGGCAGGACCTGCAGGACAGGACACAGAGCTGCTCTGGACCTTCCACACTGCAACCCTCCTCAGACCTGATACTCTGGAATCTCCCACAGTGGAACCCTCCTCAGACTGCCCCAGCAGTGAGGATCCTCCCCAGAGAGGGGATCTGTCACCTCAGGCAGCACAGACACCTCCTCCCACGTTAGCACTGAGCTTTGTGGCAGTTCCAGCTGGAATTGCTCGGTTCAGGGCACCCAGGGCTTGTGTTTGTTTCTGCACTTGAGCAAAAGTCTGCACATTCTTCCCATGTGCAGAGACAAACTCTG